AGCTCCACTATTTTTTCTTCTTACCAGCTCTATCCTAGCAGAGATAGGGTCTCCACAGCTGATGGATCCCATGTTCCTATTGCTGGGAAGGGATCTGTCAAGATTAGTGATTCTATTTGTCTACCCTCTGTCCTTCATGTTCCCAGATTGAGCACTAATTTGTTATCTGTTAGTAGTTTGACTAAGAACCTGAACTGCTCAAGAATTTTTTCTCCTGGTCGTTGTATTTTGCAGGATCTAGATTCAAAGAGGACGATTGGGAGTGGTCGTGAAGTGAATGGAATCTACCTCCTGGATGCACTTCCTCCTCATCAGAGTCATCATGTCAGTAGGGATAGTGAGTCAGGATCTGTGAGTCAAATTATGCTCTGGCATAATCGTTTAGGTCATTTAACTTTTTCTTCTTTAAGTTTTTTGTTTCCAAAACTTTTTAAGTCTGTTAGTCTGTCAAGTTTGGAGTGTGAAGGTTGTCAACTTGGAAAGCATTGTAGACATTCATTTAAACCTAGTAATAAAAGATGTTCTTCTTCTTTTGATGTTATTCATTTGGATGTGTGGGGCCTTTACCATGTTCCTTCTATGAGAGGTAATCGCTATTTTCTCTTATTTGTGGATGATTTCACGATACTCCTGGATTTACCTTATGAAATCCCGCGATGAGGTACCATCCTTGGTGAGGCAATTTCATCAGATGGTACTAACACATTTTAGAACAAGAATAAAGGTGTTCAGATCTAACAATGTCAGGGAATATTTTGAAAGACACCTTGCCTCATATCTGTTAGAAATGGTGTTGTCCATCAGAGCAGTTGCCCCTACAATCTACAGCAGAATGGTGTTGCAGAAAGGAAGAACAGACACATTGTTGAGACTACAAGAAGCATGATGATCACATCTACAGTTCTAGTTCAGTTTTGGGGTGATGCAGTTCTCACAGCAGTATATCTGATTAACAGGGTGCCCTCTCGTATACTTGGATTCAGCACCCCATTCAGTCTCCTTTTTCCTCAGGGAGAGATGTTTCATATTCCTCTCAAGGTGTTTGGGTGTATCTCCTTTGCACATATCCTTGGTCCTCACCACTCGAAGCTTGATCCCAAGGCAAAGAAGTGTGTCTTACTTGGATATGCAGAGAATCAGAAAGGGTACTGTTGCTATGATCCAATCTCTGGGAGTCAATATGTTACCATGGATGTCACCTTTTTTGAATCCACATACTTCTTCTCAAAGAATCCTTCTCAGGGGGAGTGTTTTGGGGGGAGTGTTTTGGGGAAGTGAGTCAACAATCTATTCCTCTCCCAGTTCCAATCCCTGTGTCTACTCCTGTGCTTGACCACCACCCTGTGGCACCTACCTTGCCACCTCCTTTGTGTTCTGCTTCTCAGCATTACTCACGACAGAGACTTCACAAGGCGGTTGATTCCACTACAGCAGAACTCACACCACTTCCTGTCGATTCCTTGGAGACTCCAGATTCGGCTGACATGGATTCAGGTATTCCTCCTGGTCCCGCTACTGTTTCAGTTCCCATTAATCCTACTAACTCTGTTACAGATAACCTTGATCTCCCTATTGCTCTCAGAAAAGGGAAGAGAATGTACAGTTCATTGTATTTCACAGTACTTATCCTACAGTGGACTTTCTCCTTCCTACCATGCTTTTCTCTCCTCTCTTGATTCAATGTCTATACCCAAGGGTGTTAGTGAGGCTCTCTCCAAACCTGAGTTGAAGACAGCTATGCAAGAAGAGATGGAAGCTTTGATTAAGAATCAGACATGGGACATTGTGAGCCTACCAGAAGGCAAGGAGACAGTTGGATGCAGATGGGTTTACACAGTAAAATATAAGGCAGATGGAAGTATAGAAAGGTACAAGGCAAGACTTGTTGCAAAAGGGTACACACAGACCTATGGCATTGATTACTTAGAGACCTTTGCGCCAGTTGCAAAGATGACCTCCGTTCRRATACTTCTTTCTCTTGCTGCCTCATACTCTTGGCCCTTGTTTCAACTTGATGTGAAGAATGCTTTCCTAAATGGGGATCTGCAAGAAGAAGTGTATATGGATCTTCCTGTTGGTTTTTACAATGATACTGAAAAGGGAAAGGTATGCAGACTTAAGAAGTCACTCTATGACTTGAAACAATCTCCCAAAACATGGTTTGACAGATTCAAAAAGGCCTTGATTGCTTTTGGCTACACTCAGACTCAATCTGACCACACCTTGTTTGTGAAGTGAAGGGGATCTTTGGTGTCAGTCCTAATTGTTTATGTGGATGATATTGTTGTCACCGGGAATGATCTGAGTGAGATTGATGGTCTGAAAAAGAACCTACATAAAGAATTTGAAATTAAGGATCTTGGAGAACTGAGATACTTCTTAGGCATTGAAGTTGCAAGATCGAAACATGGAATTTTTATCTCTCAAAGGAAGTATGTCTTGGGCCTTCTTCAAGAGACAGGGAAGCTTGGAACAAAAGCAATCAGCACCCCTATTGATCAGAACCATAAAATCAATGCATCAAAAGGTGAACCAGTAAAGGACATTGGGAGATATCAGAGACTTGTGGGTCGGATGCTATACTTGTGTATGACAAGACCAGACGTCTCCTATGCAGCGAGTGTAGCAAGTCAATACATGCATGCTCCACGAGTCCAGCATTGGGAGGCAGTTGAAAGGATTCTTGCTTATCTGAAGGGACACCCGGGCAGAGGCATATTGTTTATTGATCATTGACAGTTGAAACTAGAGGCTTATACAGATGCAAATTGGGCAGGATGCCTTGATGACAGGAAATCAACTTCAAGAGTGTGCACCCTAGTTGGGGGTAACCTAGTCTCATGGAAGAGTAAGAAACAAACAGTGGTGGCAAAATCAAGTGCTGAAGCCGAATACAGGGCCATGGCACATGGAGTTTCAAAACTTCTCTGGATCCATTCTCTGTTAGAAGAAATTGGTGTACAGGCAAAAGAACCCATGATGCTATACTGTGATAAC